ATGAAGCAGAAACCGGTTACACCTGCATGAATGTACTTCCCTTGGGTCTCGTCATGTCTGATTTCATCTAGCTCTATTCCCCTATGTGTGTCTCAGTCCCCTCATTATTGCCCATTGTATTTAAGCCCTGTGTTTCTCTGTGTCAGGGTTGTCTGTGTGTGTGTGTGTGTGTCCCATCATGGCTATGTTTCGCTGTGTGTTTCCCCGTGAGTTTAGTTTATTCTTTTCCAGTTTAGTTTAGTTGTGTGTTGTATGCCTTTTCCTTTGCCTGCAATAAAGCTGTAGTTTTTGAGTTCATCCCTCATGTCCAGGAGTCTGCATTTTGGGTCCAACTCCTGCCTGCACACAGCCGAATCTTGACAGGGACAGACTGGAATCACAAGTTAACTGTTCTTTTATTTACACAAAAACACCAGGTGCAGAATATATACAGGTGGGAGGGAAAGCCAGGGGTTCCAGTGGTCTGTGGGGTAGGGTCGGGGGAGAGAAACAAATCATTGTCACTCATTCTCTCCGCTTGAGAGATCCACACGCACAACACTCTAAACTGTATACATCCACGTTTAAGTTTCCACAGTTTGAGATGTCTAAGCACAGAGAGACGAAAGTAACAAATAGTTACATACACAAGCACACTAGAATTCACCAAGCTGGATTTACACTAACTTATCAAACTCAATAGTCCAGCAACAAGGAGATCAGAGCCACTGCCTTAAGTAGTGGCCAGAGAACAAGATGAATCACCAGTGTGTGCTTAGGAGCAGGTGCGTGGGCCAAAAGCGAAAGCTCGCAATGAGCTCCACCCAGGCAGAGTGATGAAAGAGAGGGGGAGGGAGAGCACAACCAAAACAAAGGCCTGGAAAGAGGGCACAACGGGCTGGAGCATACAGGCTTGACTTGGGACACATGGAAAATATTGGAAATGCGTATATTGCATTTTTGGTCTCCCAGAAGATGGCCCCGACCAGGTAGGAAGGTGGGAGAATGAGTCCGGGGTCTTCCCCCTCCTCTGTGGTGTTGAACTGCTGGGAGAGCGCATCCGGTTTCACGTTCCGTGATCCTGGTCTGTAGGTGA